CAGAGAGAAACTGGTCCCTAACGACACGAAGGGACTCAGGGAGACGGGTGACGAGAAAGTAGAGAGTGATGTACATGGGAGGAGGGTTCGCAGCGCGGAACTCAGCAGGAAGGGCAGCGCGGTAGCGGGTGTCACTAGCACGGAGGTGGGTAACGAGGTCAGCGACAGTGGGAAAGGAAGCGAGGTCAGGGAAGAGAAACGGTAGCATGAGGCGGCTAAGGGTAGCGGAGGAAGGGGAGGAGTAGCGTGCAACCACAGCGTCGTACAAGGCCTGAGCGGTCTTGCACTGACTAAAGTGGGCACGCTCAGAGGAAGGGAGGTGGCGACGCACAGCAAGACGTGCAGCAGCATCGCGGGTCGCCCACTTGGAGCGAACGGCAGAGTCAGCATCAGCAGGTGGGGCAGGGACAGCGCCAGAGACAAAGTCAAAGAGAGAGACCTCATCTATCGCATCACACAGTAAGTACAGCTGCAGGTCTTCAATCCAGACGGCAAAGTCAATGGCCCTCCCCTCAGCGTCAAAGGTAAGAACATTGGGGGTGGCCATGACAGCAGCTGAAAATCTCACCGGGCTGGGAGAGGCGGGTAGGTCAGCAGCAGAGGAACAGCAGCACGGCTCCGCAGGCGGCTCGGCCGGCGCGGGCGGCTCGGGCGGCGGCTCGGGCGGCGGCTCGGCGGCGGCTCGGTGGCGGCTCGACTGCTGCTGGGCGGCGCGGGCGGCTCGGGCGTCACGGGCGGCTCGGCGGCGGCTCGGGCGGCACGGGCGGCTCGGCGGCGGCTCGGGCGGCGGCTCGGCGGCGGCTCGGCGGCGGCTCGGCGGCAGCTCGGGCGGCGGCTCGGCGGCGGCTCGGCGGCGGCTCGGCGGCGGCTCGGCGGCGGCTCGGCGGCGGCTCAGGCGGCGGCGGCTGCTGCTGGGCGGATCGGCGGGGCCGCGTAGCAGAGTGGCGGCGGGGCCGCGACCGAAGAGAGCGGCGGGGCCGCGTAGCAGAGGGCGGCGGGGCCGCGTAGCAGAGGGCGGCGGGGCCGCGTAGCAGAGGGCGGCGGGGGCCGCTACCGAAGAGAGCGGCGGGGCCGCGTAGCAGGGGGCGGCGGGGCCGCGTAGCAGAGGGCGGCGGGGCCGCGTAGCAGAGGGCGGCGGGGCCGCGATCGAAGGGCGGCGGGGCCGCGTAGCAGAGGGCGGCGGGGCCTCGATCGAAGGGCGGCGGGGCCGCGTAGCAGAGGGCGGTGGGGCCGTGTAGCAGAGGGCGGCGGGGCCGCGTAGCAGAGGGCGGCGGGGCCGCGATCGAAGGGCGGCGGCGGGGCCGCGTAGCAGAGGGCGGCGGGGCCGCGATCGAAGGGCGGCGGGGCCGCTAGGGAAGGGCGGCGGAGCCGCGAGGGGAAGGGCGGCGCAACGGTCCGCTAGGGGCGACACGACGGGTCGCTAAAAAAAAAAAACGCGCCTCGGGGCGCGGTTCGGTGGGCCCTAGAAGCAGTCCCTAGGAGGGAACCTGCTCTGATTCCATGTGAAAACAAAGAACGAGAATGAAATGACTATGAACGAAGTGAGTACAAATAGGAAACCCTAATTGGGTTGTACCCCCTATTGGATACCCCACTATAGCCTACAGAAACAAGTAAGCTATATGTTCTGACATGACTACGAGCTGCACTCTCTTGACTTCAGCACAGCTTTCTTGCAGGGCAGCCTGCACGAGGAGATCTGGCTGCGTCGCCCACCTGGCTTCACTGGGTCTTTCCCTCCTGGTACCCAGTGGAGTCTCCGGCGTCCAGTCTACGGTCTCCGCCAGGCGCCACGTGACTGGCACGACACACTGAGGACAACGCTTGCGGCTCTTGGGTTTGCTCCTTCTACTGCCGACCCGTCGCTGTTTCTGCGCACCGACACCTCTCTGCCGCCGTTCTACATCCTCGTGTACGTGGACGACTTGGTCTTTGCCACAGCTGACACTGCTGGACTCGCCCACGTGAAGTCCGAGCTGCAGAAGAGACACACGTGCACAGACCTGGGTGAACTGCGCAGCTACCTTGGCTTGCAGATCACCCGGGACAGAGCACGCCGCACCATTACCCTGACTCAGTCACGCATGGTGCAGCAGGTCCTTCAGCGCTTCGGCTTCACGTACTCCTCGCCTCAGGCCACTCCTCTGTCTACTCGCCACTCGCTCTCAGCTCTGCCTTCGGATGAGTCCGTAGAGTCGAGTGGCCCGTACCCAGAGCTTGTTGGCTGCCTCATGTACCTGATGACCTGCACACGACCTGACCTTGCATACCCTCTTAGCATTCTCGCACGCTATGTTGCTCCTGGGAGACACCGACCAGAGCACATGGCTGCAGCGAAGAGGGTGTTGCGCTACCTGTGCAGTACGCCGGGCATGGGGCTAGTGCTTGGAGGGCGGAGTCCAGTGGTCCTCACTGGGCACGCGGACGCTTCTTGGGCTGACGACCAGGCTACGCAGCGGTCGACGCAGGGTTACACCTTCAGTCTTGGTTCCGGCTCTGTTTCGTGGCGGGCTACTCGCTCGTCTTCTGTTCTCGGCTCCAGTTGTGAGGCTGAGATCTACGCCGGGGCCATGGCTGCTCAGGAGCTTCGCTGGCTCACCTACCTGCTGACTGACCTTGGAGAGCCGCCTCGTTCTCCTCCAGTGCTGTACGTAGACAACAAGGCCATGCTGGCCTTGTGTCGAGAGCAGCGCCTGGAGCACAGAACGAAGCACATTGCTCTCCGCTACTTCCTTGCTCGTGAGCTACAGCAGCGTGGACAGTTGCGGCTTGCGTACGTGGCCTTTGAGGCCAACACTGCTGATATCTTCACCAAGGCACTTGCGCCTTGTGATCATCAGCGCTTCTGCACTCAGCTGGGTCTTGTGCCCGTCTTGCCTCACTTGCTCTCCTCTTGACCTTGCTTGTACTCTCACATATATATATACCTGCTCTTGCTTGTCTAGCTTTATATATATGTGTGTACTCTTGCATGTGAACTGGCCGTGTGGCCTTGACCCTGTGCTCGGACTGTGTGGTGACTTTGTGATCCACCCTGAGCTTGCTTTGCTTTGCTTTACTTGACTGGTCTTGTGACCCCTTGTTCTCCCCCACTTTGCCTATGGGGGTGTGTCAGAATGCTGTATAGCTTATACATTTGTGTAGGCTATAGTGGGGTATCCCATAGGGGGTACAACCCAATCAGGGTTAGTACTTGTACTCACTCATTTCATAGTTGATTCATTCTCGTTTCAATTCTCTCACAACGCGGTGGGAATGAGCGTACGCGCCCTCCGCGCGATCCATAGCCGCCACATCAGCTACCGCCTTCTTGAACGGGCGGGAAGTCAGGAGAATCTTCTGTTGGTAGAGCTTGAATCGCTTTGCCACGCGGTCGTCGGTGTGGTCCTCGACTTGAAACATCACAAAATGCTCTGAAATTTAGTCGAGGGCGTTCATGACAATTTCGAGTCCGCCCGCCTTGTCGTCGTGTTGCAGCTTGTACTCTGCGTGTTTCAGGTAGGCCCTCACGTCCTCCAGGGGCTCCGCCTTCGCGCGCACGAACGCCTTCATGAAGTTTGCCGCCGAAAAGGTGGGGGTGGTGAAAGGAAGGGGGGGGGGGGGGGAGATTTTCCATGGATGTGACATTTGCTGCGTTGATCAGAGCCTCACCTGCGTCGTCGTCAGAGTCGTCGGAGTCGTGGTCGTCGGCTGCGGCTTCGGGAATGCTAGTAGCTACCTCCTTGTTGTGGCGGCGTGTTGATGCTCCTTTCGCTCCCTTCTCCTTTTTTCGAATTTTCGTTTTTAACCGAAATTGATGCCGCCGGTTGTGTAGTTTCGGCCGTACGGCGCCTCTGGCGCTGATGCGACTGCCTGTGGGGCGCGTGTGCCTCAGGCGCGTGCTCCGCGTCAGTCGCGTGTGGCGCCACGTTCGCCACTGGTGCCACAGGTGCCACTAGCGCAACAGGCGCCACAGGCGCCGAAGGGTGCTGCTGGTGCCGCTCGGCGTTTTTGTTGACCTCGAGCCCGCCCAGCAGCAAGTCGACAGCTGTTGCGGCGGACGTTTCGCCGTCTGCCCGGCACTTGTTGCGGCGCTCGCCCGACATTTCCCGGGCGTTACGATCGGTGTCGGAAATATTCAAGTCGTTGACGACGGTGCTGTTCGCGCGGTGAAGTGTCGGCATAGCAGCCATAGTCGAGCGGTTGTGGTTGAGAATGTCAGCTAATAAAGCTGAAGGTGAAACGCCCCTCGGTAGAGAGCGAGTTCTAGCCAGCTTGAACGGAAATCTAGAAATGAGCTCGAGGAACTGAGAGTTGCATGAGCCGTTGGAAAATGAGAGACGTGGGTGGAGGGAAATGAGCTCCAACCCACGTTTTGTAGTTGGAGAAGGGCGTTTTTCGCGCTTCGACGATGCCAAATCTGCGTTACAGGCAGCTGCGCTTTCGAAATACGTAAATTTGAAAAACACTTCGTGTGTTTAAAAAATTATCATAATTCAAAAACCACCAATTATTTAGAGCTCAGTCTCTAAGACCTTAAGTTAAACTTTTCTCTAACCTCATACAATCCTTACACAACCCACCCCACCACAGCACATCACTGCACACCTCGTCTGCGTTTCATCATCAAGTCGGCAGGATTCTGTCTACGATTGCGAGGCACTGAAAGCTGCTCGCAGGCGTAGCGTTTCGTTATTTCGCACGTCGCGAGATCACAAGCGTGGCAGGCGCAGGATCAGTCGACTGCTTGTTATCTGCTGTGGTGATGGTCTAGAGATCTCTTTGTGCTCCCATCAAACCCGCCATTGTGTCCGCGTTACCACTTTACTCTGAGCTTGGTTGATAAATTTCTGCTCTGTCACTACCACTGTGCTCGGCAATAAATCGCACGGCACTAGACTCCGTTAAAACATTGGCGAGTTATTCCTTAAGACAGCTCGCGCTGGGTGTATGACCGTGCCGTCCGGTTTATGAGATTGCCGTCCTTCGGATCGATTCGCGGTTCCGCGAAATCCGTGCCAATGCTGATCAATCTCCCGTCTCGGGCCTCGTCCTTCTCCGCCGGCGGCGCGGTTGCGCCGGCAAAGGACGGCGTTAATCGCCGGATCGCGTTAGATCCGCACAGATCTGGTCCTTGTGTGACGTCATCCCATTCCCCTGATGGTGAGTCAAATTCGTACGCGCTATTAGCAATACGCTACCATATTCAGGTTTCTGGGCTCTACCATCCATTTGCTGGTGCCGCACTTACCTAAGTGCGTGCGCTGCATTATTTCCGCACCTTCGGTCTTCCACTGCCTACCTCCAGTCTCAGGATCTCGCAATTCTCGCCTTTGCACACACCGACACCTTCAGGGTTCCCCCGTTCTCACGCCGCTATCTCCGCGCGCTTGGTTTCGAGCTCCGCGGCGACCCCCGCTGCGGCCACCCGAGGCGCCGCGTTTCCGTCTCTCAGAAGCAGCAGCAGCGGCCAGCGGAGCCGCGCCTGGCAGAACGTTCTTAAAACGCTCCCCGCCTTAGAGACGTCGCAGAACTCGCTCCGAGCGCTACTAGCTGCCGCTGCCGCAGAGGGCGCCGCGGCTCCGGCCCCCGCCCACGAGGCGGCTTTAATCGACGGGAAGGCAATTGCGGAGGAGATTAAACGCGAGATCGCGGCGGAGGTGAAGCGGATCCAGGCGCTGCCCGGGGTGCACCTGACGCCGGGATTGGCAGTGGTTTTGGTAGGCGATAGGAAGGACTCGCAGTCGTACGTGCGTATGAAGAAAGCGGCGTGCGCTGAAACGGGGATAACGAGCTTCGGTGTGGATCTGCCGGCCGATGTGAGCGAGGAGGAGGTGGTGGCGGCGGTTCGTGAGCTAAACGACAACCCGGACGTGCACGGCGTGTTGGTGCAGCTGCCGCTGCCGAAGGTGTGTGAGGGGTTCTGGGTTCTAGAGGGTTTTCGTGGTGGGATTGGGGTGGCAGCGAGGAGGAGGTGGTGGCGGCGGTTCGGGAGCTAAACGACAACCCAGACGTGCACGGCGTGTTGGTGCAGCTGCCGCTGCCGAAGGTGTGTTAGGGGTTCTGGGTTCTAGAGGGTTTTCGTGGTGGGATTGGGGTGGCAGCGAGGAGGAGGTGGTGGCAGCGTTGCGGGAGCTAAACGAGAACCCGGACGTGAATGGGATGCTCGTGCAGCTGCCCTTACCCAAGGGATGCGCTGGGTTCTGTGTTTTATGTGGATCACAAGCAGGGGGCGGGGTTTGGGGTTTAGGGTTCACGTGGTAAGATTTTAGTGTGCGGATGGGAGCGAGGAGGAGATGGTGGCGGTGCGGGAGCTTAGGGGTGTAGCGCATTATGTAGCCGGTGCTGCTGGGTGGAATGGGTGCTGAGTGCGGTCAATATTGACAAGGACGTTGACAGGCCAGAAGCCAAGGTCAAGGTGCGGTCAATATTGAGGCGCTTCCCCCTCCCTTCCCCTACTTCCCGTGTTCAATGCCGGCCTTAAACAGCACATCAATGCGGAGCGGATGCTGAGGGTGGTACCGATACATCAATGTATCGACAAGGATGGGGACGGGGTTCACCCAATCAACATCGGCCAGCTATCAAGACCCTCCTCTTTTTCTCCCCCTTTCCCTTTTTCCCTCTGCGCAGCACTTCAACGCGGAGCGGGTGTTAAGTGCGTTCGGTATTGAGAAGGACGTGGATGCGAGATTCAGACTTGTCTCGTCTGGACTGGAGCTCACTGAGACATGTCTGAATATTGAGAAGGACGTCGACGGGTTCCATTCCTCCCAATCATCATCGGCCGGAAAGCCAAGGCCACTCAGGCACTCCCCCCCTCCCCCACCTCCCCTCCCCTACCACCTCCCCGCCCCCTTCCTCCCCCCCGCTCCCCCCTCCCTACCCCAGCACATCAATGCGGAGTAGGTGTTAAGTGCGGTCAGCATTGAGAAGGACTGGGACGGGTTTCACCCAATCAACATCAGGCCAAAATCTGAGGTCACTTCCTTGCTTCTTCTCCCACCTCTCCCCTTCTTCCCTTTCCCCCCCCCCCCCCCCCCCCCCCCCCCCCCCTCCCCCAGCACATCAATGCGGAGCGGGTGCTGAGTGCGGTCAGTATCGAGAAGGACGTGGACGGGTTTCACCCTATCAACATCGGCCAGCTGGCGATGGCGGGCCGCAAGCCGCTGTTTGTGCCGTGCACGCCCAAGGGGTGCATCGAGCTGCTTATCCGGAGCAAGGTGCGCTTATGACAATGATGGGGGGTGGCCTTGTAAGGGGGATGAAGTGTGGGCTTGTAAAGGACATGGGAGTACGCTGGGGTTACGCTGGTTGATATTGGTTGGGGGAGAAAAGGGGGGGACGGGAGGGGGGTTGGGGGGGAGGGAAGGGGGGAAGGAAGCTTCTCTTCGTGCTGTGCACGCCTAAGGGGTGCATGATTGTTTGGTGTTGCATTAACTGTTTGCTCTTCCCTTTCATCTGCACGTCTGTGTGCTCGAGCTCGACTCTTCCGGCTGTTGCAGGTTCCCATGGAAGGGAAGCGGGCAGTCGTGATTGGTCGGAGCAACATCGTCGGCACACCTGCCGCCATGCTGCTGCAGGTAACAGCATTACGTTATTTTTTTCCCGTGTTTTCGTGCCCCATGCTGTCCGGTTCATCAGATCATTGCTTTCTGGTTGTGCCTCCCCAGGCAGATGTGCCTATCTGGTTTTTCATGTTTGCAAACAAAGTTGTCAGGTAAGTTTTTTATCCATTTTTTTTCTATGGGCTGATTGATTCTTAATCATGGAATCCATACAGTAGCGAATTGGGAAAAACAATGTCATCACCTTTTTTTTCTACACTCTCCGTCCTGTCTGCACTGAACTGAACTTACCTCTCGCCCCTTCTGTCCCCACTCTTTTATGTCCACCCCATTAGAGGAACAACGCTACAGTCACGGTGGTGCACTCGCGCACCAAGGACCCCCCTTCAATCACGCGGGACGCCGACATTGTGATTGCAGCAGCGGGTGTACCAAACCTGGTGCGCGGCGACTGGCTGAAGCCGGGATGTGTCGTGATTGACGTGGGGATCAACCCTGTTGATGTGAGTGGGGGGAAGAGGGAAGGGGGGATTTTGGGGGTTGTGCTGTGATTGCAGCAGCCGGCGTGCCTAACCTGGTGCGAGGTGACTGGCTGAAGCCTGGCTGTTTGGTCATTGACGTGGGGATCAACCCCGTTGATGTGAGTGGGTGGGGGGTAGGGGAACAGGGAGAGGGGGAAGGGGGTAGGATGAGGAAGGGCGAATAGCTCACGGCTGTGTGGTGATAAGCAGGGATCTACCCTGTTGATGTGAGTGGGTGGGAGGGAGGGGGAGTAGGGGAATGGGGAAGTAGGGATGGGAAAAGGAAGACGGTGGGGCTGGGAGCAGGCAGGAGGGCGTTAGAGCGGAAGGTGGGTGGCAACTGCCTGAAGCCTGGCTGTGTGGTGATTGACGGGGGGATTAACCCCCCCGTTGGTTTTAGTGCCTGCGTGTGGGGAGTGGGGAGGATGGAGCGGAGTTAGGCAGGAGTGTGTTAGAGGAGAGAAGGGGTGGCGACTGGCTGAAGCTTGGCTGTGTGGTGATCGATGGGGGATCAATGCAGTCGATGTGAGCAGGTCAATTCATCCATTCACCCTGTACCCAACCCCCCCCCCCCCTCCCTGTTCTCCCTTCATCCCCCATTCCAACTTGCTCTCGTGCCGGTCACCCAACGTCACTTCTATTTTCGTTCTTCCTTACAGTTCTTGGGTGTGTGAAGTCATCCTCCTGTCCGTACCCCCCCCCCCTAAACCATGACCCCCTTTGTTCCATTCGCTGCCAGCAACACGGGCACAGGATCCCTCGTCCAAGCGCGGTTACCGCCTGGTTGGAGAAGTGTGTTTTGAATAGGCTCTCGTGCCTTATACCACTCACCTTCCTTTTCTTCCAATATCCCTCTTCCCTGCACTCTCCTCCATTCCTGCATTTTGTCACACGTGCACAGGATCCCTCGGCCAAGCGCGGTTACCGCCTGGTCGGAGACGTGTGTTTTGAAGAGGCTAAGCATGTTGCGTCGGCCATAACCCCTGTTCCGGGAGGTGTGGGGCCGATGACCATAGCTATGTTACTCAGTAACACATTGGAGGCAGCGAAGAGAAGCAAAGGTCTTCACGTAGAATGAAAAGGCTCATCATGGTGCGTCGGCCATAACCCCTATGCTGGGGGGTGTAGGACAGAATGACCATAGCTATGTTACTCAGTAACACATCTAAAGGTTTGAAACGAAGTAAAGTGGAATGAATGAAGAGGGGCTGTTTTTATTTATGTGATTTTTCTTAGTAGCAGACCACCCATTGTAGCAAGCACATTTTCCGAAATACCGTAGGAGACCATGTTTGAAGTGACAATTGAAAGATTGAGGGTTTCGCGTACGAGCGACTCAACCAAGGGCTTGCGCGGAAGATCCCAGCGGAATCAGGTCGACGGACCCGAGTTGCCAGGGTCGACGAGGGGGGTCGACGGACAGGGGTCTGACGAGGCGGGCGAGTGACGCGCGTGCGGGCCCGCCAGCCTGGCCCTGGGCTGGGCCGGGCGCACGACCGCCGCCCCGCAACCACCCCCCCGAGAGTGAACAGCGACCCACGTTACCGGGTGGGGGCGGCGAGCTGGCGAGACCTCGGGCGAGGGGAAGTAACCCTGCCGCGAAGGCAGCCCACCCCTCCCTCGTGCCCGCGAGGCCCTAGTAACCCATCGCGGCCTGCCCGTACGGGCAGGCGAGGTCCACGCGAAAATCGGGGGCTCCCCTCGGGTCGCTCGACTATTTCGCGACCCGTTGCGGTGACGCCACGTGCTCGCCCGTCATTTCGCATCGCGTGCATGAGACATTTCGTACCCCCCGAAACTCGAGCGAAAACCTGGGTCCTTCGCCACGGGGCGCACGGCTTTCGCGACCCTCTGCGAAATCGACACGTGGTGCCGAAACGTCGCACCGCGCCCACGCGAAGTTGCGTCCCCTGGCCGACCGAGGCCGGGGCACGTGACGTCGACCTGTTGGCTCGGCGGCGAGGGTGCACTTGTGCCACGCAACTTGTGCACGAGCCCTGCCGAGCCAGGCATCACGGCCCCCTGGGCGACGCTCAACCGGGCCTGCGTGGCTCCGCCTGGCTTTTCTTCGTTGGAGGTGGACTGGCCCCTCATTTTCGCGTTCTCGTTTCTCTTTCATTTTTCCTCCCACCTCGGCGCCTTCCATACTCCCACCGCTTCTTCCCTTAGCCTGTAGCATAGCATCCTCGCTCTCCCGCCATGGCAGCCGGCCAGAAAGCCGCCGAAGCGGCGCCGACCTCGCTAGATTTCCCCCTGCATCTAGACATCGGTAGAGGACACACGGCCAAGTTCGAAGAGCACGACTACGCCGTTCTGACAAACCCTATGCTAGAGTTTAACGCCCGTTGCTTGGGACTCGGTCTCAAGTGAGTGTCTTATGGAGATGTCGTCGTCGACGGGCCTATTCCATGCTGGTCGGCCATGGCGGGGTTTCAATGCGTCCAGTAGTATATGTCGACGGGCTTAGAGTTCAGGCACATCACATCGGTGATGCCGACGTAATGCGTTAGGTCGTCGACGAGGCTGAGTTGTGCCGAAGTCGTTCGGCTCCCGTCATTCCACCGTCGTGCCGCGCACCTATACCTCTCTAATCTGTTGTAATCATGCATGCGTGCAGGCATGCATGGATCCGCTCAACGGATGCAGGCGAGCGATTGTGGTCGATAGGAGTCGGCCGGCTTCGGGCGGCAATGGGTCAGGACGACCACACATGCTTTGCGACGATTTTCGACGCCGACGTGGCGGTTATCCCACTGATATCGAGGTGAGCAGGTTCGAGGTCCTGCTGTGTGCTGCAACCTGTGTCGGTGATTTGTTCTGAGCGCCATCGACGTGCCTTGTCTGTGCAGCATCGCACCGCTTCCGGGAGCACATTGCAGCGTCGTTCTCATCCTGTGCCCCGGCGATTTGTTCAATGCCTCGGGGCAGGAGGTCAGGACCTCGATCCGGCACGCCGACCCGCAGACAGTGAAGGAGTGGCACCGCGACGAGGCGATCCGCGTGCTGAAGTGAGCTCGATAGTTTAGTCGACATCGCATACATTGTCGACACGACGCGTGCACCGTGCTAACCGACCGTCCTTGCCGTGCTTTTGCAGGTTTTTCCGGACCGCTGTTCTGGCCGAGCTGCGGCGCGAGGGTAGGAAATGGGAGTGGGCGAAGCCGTCCGAAGACGAGGTGCAGGAGAGGCTCGCCGACTGCGACGAACCCCTTCGAGATGTGAGTTCCGGACGATTCGCCGTCATATGGTGTCACATCTACGCCGCCCTCATCCTTGCTCTCTGCACTGTTGTATGCAGAAAATTCCCGATACCGTCCGGGACTCGGACGCGGGCTCCGGCCTGCTAGCAATGAGCGCGTTGATCTGGGTTGTGAGGCGGTTCCAGCGCCTGACCGGCGACCTCCGTCGCATTGCCACCAGCATGGACAAGCCCACCGTCTCGGGGTTGAAGGCGCTGCGGAACGAGATGGTAGCCCTCATCAAGAAGCAAGTCCCGCTCATACGGTCGGGGAAAACCGTTGTTGCTGCCGACGCCTGTGACGACGACGGCGAGGAAGTCCATTCTGCATCCGTACCAGTAGGGGTCGCCCCGAACGTCGCTGATGCGCGTGGCAAGTCGGGAGTCGGCGTCGACGAGGCCGATGCGGCCGCAGGAAAGGGGGTGACCGGGACTGAGGTTGTTCACGGGGATGATGATGGGGTCCAGGATCGCGAGGAGGAACGTGAGGGTGAGGGGGGCTCGGAGGAGTCGTCGGGGTCGAGGTCGGGGTCGGGGTCGGGGTCGGAGTCGGAGTCGGAGTCGGAGGAGGAGCAGGAGCAGGAGCACGAGAGGCAGCACCAGGAGGAGCAGTTGGTAGAGGTGGAGGACGTGGAAATGGCGGAGGGGTACGTTGTCGGAGGAGCGGAGGGGTACGTTGTCGGAGGAGCGGAGGAAACGGGTGGGAGATCGGCGGATGTCGAGAACGACGAAGGGGAGGGGAAGGGTGCGACAGCGAATATCGGCGAGGTCGGCGTGGAGGCGGCTCACGGAGGTGGTGGCATGGTCGAGGTCGGTGAAGGGGATAACGCCGCGGTCCCGGAGCAGAGGGGCGTGGATGTGCATACCGATGCCACCGCGGAGAAGGCCGGCGGGGAGCGGTCTAGGAGGAAGAAGGCGGCGAGCGGTCATCCCGGTTCCACCGCGGCTGGGCGGCAGGCGCGGCTGGACGTCGTCGATCAGCTGAGGGCGGAGAACAGGCGATTGCGTGCAGACAATGCACTCCTTGAACGGCGGCTCGGTGAGCAGACGGGGCGGGTCGACAGCTTGGCGGCGGCATTAGCTGGGCTCCTCGAGAAGGTGAAGGGTTTGACCGCCCAGGTCGCCGACACCGACCGGAAATCGGAGGAGCGCCTCAAAGAGGCCACGTCGACCATGGCGACCACAATCACCGAGGGCCTCACCGACAACATGAACAGCGCCATTCAATCGGCCAAGTCCTTCGCCGAGCTAGCGAGGCAGACGCTGCTGGATCTTGACGACCCCAAGGGACGAGCGGCGGTCGCACGCGCGACCGCGGTGAAGACAGTGACCGAGCACGTGACGGCGGAGGTGGGCGAGGCGAGGAAGGGGTTGGAGGAGTCGTTCATCAAATACATCGGCGCCGCGCAGACCAACATTGCCGCCGCCGTCGCGCCCCGCCTAGTCCAGCCGCCGCCGCCTACCGGCCCAGCGCAGGCCTTGCCGGAAGATTACCTGAAGTCTTTCAAGAAGGACGTGCTGAAGGCGGTGACGGAGACCACGCAGCAGTCCTTCCTCGCCTCCGGACTGAAGATAATGGCCGAGGTCGTCGGCACGGTGGCGTATGCTCGGCGTGGGTCGTCGCCGTCGGCAAACGACGCCGGCCAAGCGCAACCTACGGAGGGCTTGAAGCTGGGTCACAAGAGGTCGGGAGGCGGCGGGGGGGGCGACGGGGACATTTCGGCGAACACGAAGCGGAGCAAGGGAGGCGGGGGGTCTGGCGGTGGGGGGGGGGACGGAGACGATTCGGCGGGCGCGAGGCGGACCAAGGGAGCGGCTGGTTCTCGCGTCGCCGGCGATGGGAGCATGGGAGCCGGCGACGGCAGTTCGTTGAAGCAGTCGGGGAAGAGCGTGGTCGACATCCTCAGGAAGCACTGGGCTCAGGTTGGAGCGGCCAGCACAGGCCATGGTGGTGGGGGTCCCGCCGACGAGCATGCCACTGATGACGCACTGCCAATGGCTCCGCCTTCGGTCGGCGTTAAGCCACCACGACAGGGTTGCGGTGTGAAAGGCCTGCGCGACAAGGAGAAGGCCGCCGCCAAAACGGCCCCAGGCGGGTCCGCGAAAGCTGGCCAGGGCCCGAAGACAGGGGTTGCGGAGGCGTCAGCGGTTCCTCACCAGTCTCCCGCGGGTGCACGCCATCCGACAGGACCGTCTGCCGGGCGACCTACCGACGTCCCGCGCCATGCCGACGTACCGTCTGCCGTCAAGGTTGGCCGCGCGGGAAAAGGGGCGGCAGTTGCGGACGCGCTCAAGGAGCAGCTCAGGCTCCTAGCCGGCCACAGGGCTGTTCAACAGGCCCCCCCTGCTGTCGACGTCCTATCGGCCAGTGGGCCACGTGTAGTGCCGGTCGTCGCCGCCCGTACTCCTGCAGACCCAAAGTCCGCGTTGTTGCGCGCCCAGCTGGGCGCACTAGCGTCGACTGAGAGGACTCAGCAGGCTTCTGGCTCTGGCTCTAAGCCGTCGTCGGCGAATGTCGCACCACCCACCCATGTGGCAGCTGATGTGGAGAAGACGGCGGAGAAGGGCGTTCGTGCCGCGCTTGCCACCGGCGGCGGCGCCGTTGAGGAGGTCCCCGCAGACGCTGATATCGCTGCCATACAGGCCCATCTGGATGCAGCCAATCCCCGAACCCCGGCCATCTCCGACACGGAACATGTGGAGCCTTCGGCGGGACTCGTCGGCATCGCGGCAGAGCCTAGTGCGACCGGTGATGCGGTCGGTGAGAGAAAGTCGAAACGGAAGGGGAAGGCGGGCTCACAGAGGAAGACGCGGGAGAAGTCGGAGGTGAAGGCGGCGGATAAACAGAAGGGGATGGCGGCGGAGACGGCGGCGGACAAAGATCGAGGCGGCATTGGGGAGGTTGAAGGGAAAGGGGAGAATCAGAAGTCGCCCGGCGAGGGTACGTCGACGGGGAGGAAGGGGAAGGACAAGTCGGTCGGAGAAGGTGCGTCGACCGGGAGAAAGGGGAAGGAGAAGGCGGTCGGCGAGGGTTCCTCGAAGGGGAGAAAGGGAAAGAGGAAGGCGGAGGAGGAGGATGAGGATGTCGAGGAGGTGGAGGAGGTCGAGCAGGAGGAAGAGGAGGAGGAGGAGGAGGAGGAGGAGGAGGAGGAGGAGGAGGAGGGGAAGGGCAAGGAGAGGAGGGGTCATGGCATCCGACACGATACCTCGGGCGACAAGCAAGGGTGGGTCGGCGAGATTAAGGTGCACGGCATCAATCGATACATCGGCAAGTCGCGGGACAAGATGGAGCTCGCGTACGTTCACTCCATCGCGTACGTCGTCTACGACGGTTTCGTGAGCAAGGTGCTCATGACCGAGCTCACCGGCTTGGACAGCGCCGAATTGGAGAGGTGGAAGGAGGTGTGGGATGAGGTCAGGATCTTGCCGACAGGGATGTGGACGGTGATGTGGGCCCGGGGTACGCTCCTTCCAAAGACACGGTAAGTCGGCAATCCTCCGATTCAAAGTCGATGTCGTTGTCGTTGTCACTCATGTTCGCCCTGTTTGTGGTGGCGTGACAGGCTGACGGAGATCCTCGACGCGTATCGCCATTACAAGTCCACAGGCGATTGTCTCCACGCCGCGCTCCTGCCAGCGATATGGTACCCAGTCGATGCTAGCACCGAGGAAGGCCGGGAGAAGTCGGCGTCCATGATGTCGGCGATGATAGGCCGCGTGTCAATGTGCGCTGCATATGGGAAGACCGCTGCGGCAGCGGCGAAGAAGGAGGGAGACAAGGAGGAGAAGACGGATATGGCGGCATGGGCGTTAGCAGCATCCGCATGCGCTGTGTGGTGCTTCGTCGAGAACGGCGATGCCCAGCTGGCGGATGCTGTGGAAGAAGGGAAGTCGGCGGCGATCATCGGCGGAGCGAGCCAGGCGACCGCCGATGTATTCGGAAAAGTCATGGAGGCGGTGCTGAAAGCCGAGATGAACAGGGACCGCCCCTTGGGAGAGGTTGCCTACAACGTCGCGCCAGCACTCCAGAGGACCGCCCTTGATACGGTATATCCGGGGGGGAATGCTGGAGTAGATGCCGACGTTATCGCTAGAGCGACGGTTGAGACGATGGCGTTTTGGGGAATGTGCCCCGTCGCCGGGCCGAAACTAAGAGCGAGGGACATCGCGGTGCCGATTGACGCGCAGATGAAGGCCGATCTTGACAACAGGGGGAGGAAGGGTCTGAGGGGCAAGAAGGGGACGAAGACCAAGGGCGGCACGGAGAAGGTCAAGAAGTCAAAGAAGGACAGCACGACGGCCTAGTCGACGGCATGCTAAGATTGAGTGCTGCGTGGACTCGATGATGAAATGGTCGATACCGTTTTCCTTGTTTTGGCTGTCGGATCCCTTTGATGCTCTTTCTTTGTGCGTGCCTGTCTACTTTACGTAGGATGAGTAATGAACACATTAGCTAGTAATGATTGTCTACTTCAGTTTGAACGACACGTGAATGCCCCGCTAGGCCGAGAACAACAGGATCATTGAGAGAAACAAAAAGTCGACATCAGTATCAGTATGAAACATAGGCATGCTGCATCAACATCTACAACATGCAACAGGCCACAGTAGCAGGAGGCCTGGGAACATTCAAGCGGTTTTCTTGCGCTTGGTCGACTTATTGGTCGGAGGCAGCTGCCCGGCGTCGTTTTCGCGGGCCAGGTCGGCCAACGTCTTCTTCATCTGCTCAACCCAGGTGTCCGGGAACAGGTCGGCGACCCACGTTTCGGGCTTGAGCCCGCGCGCCACGAACGCACAGGCGACACGAAGCTTGGAAAATTCCGTCTTGCCGAGCCCTTTGACGCCCTTACCCTGCCCAGCATAGGTCGCTACGGCGTCCGCGTTGAGCACCGTGAGGGCATCCGCGAAGGTCCCAATGCCAGGCGCCGCTATCTTGTTAAGCGCGTCGACGGTGGCTTCCGTGTCGGCTTCGCCGTCGCTCCTGCGAAGCTGGCGCACCGCATCGATGACCTTCATCATGCGGCGCACCCTCTTCCCGTGTGCTCCCTGCGAGGCTCCGTCGAGGAGGGTGTGGCGGTCGACGAATCCCGGCTCCCTGAACCTGTCGCACAGACGACGGGTGTCGGCGCTGGTGCACGAGGTCCAGAGGCGCCACGCGTCCTTGACGGTCGTTGCAGTCCGCCAAGGCTGCACTACGTTCAGCTCGTAGGTAGCCTCCTCGACCGTCTGTGGGGGTTTATTGGGTTTGTTGGCTCCTCCACCCCTGCTTGCCGACTCCGCGGAGCCACCGTCGCTCGGCGACTGGTCGTTAGCAGCTGGCGGCGCCTCCGGCATCCTTCAAGCTTCTGAAACGCGGAGAGCCTCGGTGAGGCGTGTTATCTCGGCCGCGAGCGACGCGATGGTTGCGTCGCGATTCTCGATCTTCTCCTCGAGGTTGAGCTTCTGGACCGTTGACCGCTCCCTCTCGAGCTTAAGCGTCTCCGTGAGGGAGACGACCGCGAACTGGGCGTCATGGCGGACCGATATCTCCTGCAATGGTATGCGAATAACGGTGCAGATGAGGGGTTGTAGCGGTCATAGATAACATCGCGACGTCGGCATAAAAGATGACCTACCTCTGGCTGGATGAGGGTTGGATCTTGCCGCTTTTTTATGGTGTCGGTGTCGGTATTCTCGACCCTCTTCGCCCAGTGCTGGAAGAGGGGAATCCGGCAGAGCTTGGAATACTGGATGTACGGGTGCCAAGGGGTGCGGACGAGTTTCACCGCGAGGTCCTCGGCGACAATGCGGCGGAACATCAGAAGGGTGCGCCAGAAATGCACGGCCGCAACGTCGGCGTCGGACCCCTTCTTCGCGAGTTCTTCTGCCTGCAGTTAGACATCAGACGGGGGTTATTTCCATGGTGGATAGGACAGTACCATGCAAGATTGGTCGGCACCGATAAACAAACCTTGTTGAGGAGGTCGTCGACGTCGGGGAAGATGTGCTCGGCGATGAGAGCGAGGAGTTCGTCTCCCGGTTCCACCCTACTGCGACCCAAGAAGTAGTCCTGCGTGAATCCCGAATAGCCGGCCTTCTTCATCACCACGCCGACGGGAATGGACGTGATGTAGGCTCGAGTCATCTTGTCGAGAGCCCAGTGACCCAGCTCGGCTATCTCGGCGCGAGGCGTACCTTGGATGGCCAACTCCTGCGCCCCGCCCGCCCGAGCGGCATGGACGTTCCGCTTGCAGAACACCCCGTTCGTCTTCCACATCTGCCTCGTCCATCGCTGGTGGCTGGGAGCTGAGAGTTCGCCCTGCTCGGGGTCGTTGCGGGCGAAGAACAGGTGCTTCTTGTACCAGAGCTCGCGTGTGCTGGTGTCGACCGGCGGAATGAGGTCGACTCCGTGAAACTGGCCGATCTGGTCGAGGACGAAGTGTAACCACAGCCCGGTCTCGCCGACGGCGCACAACTCCGCTTCTAGGTGCCGCGCCGCGTAGCTCTGTTGAAGACGCGCATCCTTCGACGTCTTCGAGTTCCGCGCGGCGACCACCATGACGACCGGCTGGTTATCCGGGTTCACCGACGAGGTGCTCGCCAGTCGGTACAGGAAGATGTCGGGGAGCGTTATCTCGCGTATGCTTGCACCGCGCATGAGGCTGTGGTGGGAGAGCAGCGTGAGCACCTTGATGAGAAGAAACCTCCACAGCGTCTGCGAAGGTGTGGTGAAATGCGGGCTCCATGCCGACGCCGCCCAAGCCGGCAGCACCCTCGTCATTATCTGGCGGAACTGTTCGGCGGTGTATGTGTCGCCGATGGTGCCGCGTCGACGGTCGGCGCATTTACTGTCGACATAACAATATATGGATATGAATATTAGGGCGAGGAAACAAATCGATGGCGACATAACACGGCGATGCATGCCAACTTACTCGAGGTCCCTCTGATTTTTCGTGCGGACCATGACCCGCACCTCCGACCGGACCACCGAGATTTCCCGCATGATGCCCAACTCCTTCTCCTTGAAGAGCGTCGCCTCCACCCTCGCCGCCATCTGGCAGGCCTTGATGCGGCCGAGGATCATGTGCACCGTGTAGGCTCGCACTGGCTCGTTCGTGTCGGCGTCGATCTTGTACTCCCGCCTCATGAACTTGATGTAGGCGCGCAGTCGCGTACTAGTGACCCGGGGGCCGTGCAGCCATATGTGCTTCCGCTTGACCACCTTCTCGTTGTCCCAATCCTTGCTCTTGTTGTTGTGTGTCCAGTGCCCTATCTCGTCGACGTGCCTCATTTGTTCTGCTGTCGGCAGTTTGTCGCCAATTTTTTTAAGCATCTTCGCCGTCCACCTTTTGTAGTCGTATATCCATGAGGTGTAGGACTTGAGCGTGCTCTTGGCCTCTATGGTTTTCAGGTGGCGCATTGCCTCCATCACGAGCACGTCGACGCACGCGTACACCATATCTTCCTCTACGAAGTCGGCCGCCTTCCACATTTCTCGAGGGACCGACGTGTGCAGCAGATCCTCAAGCTCGTTCTCGTCCAACAGTTCCTCTATGAACGCACGTTCCCCCCTGAGTTTTTCTTCCAATGTGCGCGGACCTGCACCACGTCGGGGCCGCGGGTCGTCTTCGTCGTCCTCGTCGCTCGCCGATGAATAATCGTCCTCATCCTGGTCGCCCGATCCGTCCGGCACAGACGACGGCCCGGCCTCCCCTGCATCCGTCGGCGTCGACGTTTTGCGTGGTTTCGTGAACTCCCCTATCGGCGCGGGCGGAACGTCCTTGGTGAACTCTCCCTGCGGGATTTGGGCCAGGGCGTCGAGATCGTAAAGCAGCGGCAAAGTCGACGAGGGGTTACTGGTCGGTGTACGGTCTACCGGGCGGACGTCCTCATCCTGGCTAGCGGGGTTCATGACGTCCGTCATGTCGACATCGGCGGGGGGTGGGTTGGTTTGCGGCGGTGTTGAACGAGGCTGTCCTCTGGCCATGATACGGCGACCTAGGGCGATGGGAAGTCGGCGTGGTGAGGTCGATAAACTACTAAATGCGTATTCTATGTCGGCGGTATCTGGCAGGTCGGGACAGCAGACAATCCTACGAGAGGTCGGCGACCACGTCTGCCTACTATCACGACGCCGACGTTACGCCTCTAGAGAAAATCCAAGTGCCGGCCGTCAAGTCAGTGGTAAAAAAAAAAAAAACAATGGCACACACAATGGCAGGCGGAATGAGCGACCATTTCGGGGACCACGGATGGGGATGGTCGTGAGCGACTCCGCACCACTTGGCGCTCCACGCAAACCCCAGTGCACGACGCCGCCATGCATGTACGCTCGTGCGGCGGCGCCGTGTCCGACGTGCCACCAGGCGTGCATGGCTGCTTGCTTGAAGCGCTTCGCTCATCATGCTCTTTTCGTGGCTGCTACACGCTGGCTCTTTCGTGCGGCAACGTGGCGTGGTCCCGAATTAGGTGCACCTCGGTAGGTCGAGGTCGGGAGACACTGCCGTGTGGCACCACGATGATGCTCTTCTGGTCGACGCCGACAGGTCCCGCATCATCAGTGTCCACTGCACGTAGCCATAGATAGTGGACGGCCGGATTTCTCCTTGCGCATGTGAGCAACCGTTGGATGAATGCCGTGTGGTATGCACCGACATTGCCACGTTCATGCGCGAGATTCTCCCAAGCGAAGCACCCCGACCTTCCGTTGGCCCGTCGTGTCCAACCTGGCAGACCTAGGTGGCCCCGCCATCCAGGGGACTATCTCGGGCGTCCCTTTGTGGCCGCGTGGCGATCATCGCGGCCCGACTTGCCGAGCTGGTATTCTGACACGCGGCTGAGACGTCCTTCTCGGGATTGTCTCAGCGGAACTCTAGGTCGACAGGTCGTCGACCATCCCGAGGGCTCACCAGCACCGGGCCCAGCCAGATAGGCTGGGCTTTCCACGTGGAGGTCGTCGTGGGGTCGTCAACTACGAGGAAGGGGGTTGTCCGTTCTGAACCGCGAAAATGGGCGGCAGTTTTTGTCGGCTGAGCTATACTATGCTAAACAAGCCCAGACAACGCTTGCGATCACAGCGAATGCAAACTGTAACTGTTGATGGCCCACCACCAGCACAGACGCAAGCCGTACCACAAGTGAACAGCAATTGGGACACAGAATGCAACTGGGAATAGGCTCCACCACACCAGCACAGCAAAAAAAACGAATCCAATCTCTCAGACTATCAAATCAACCTCCAATTTGTCGGTGCGTACAGATCCCGCACTGGTTTGTGAGAAGGTGAGGTGAGGTGAGGTGAGGAGGAGGGAAGGGTGATGGCGTCCCGACCCTCTGGGCTGCCCAAACAGTTCAGTTTAACACTTACGACGTGGGCCCAATCGACTTTGATTGGCGCGATCAGAGACGATCAAAAACTTCGAGGAAGGCGGGAAGCAGATTTCAGGCAATCAGGGGCAATCGACTGATCGCGATCAGCTGATCGCGCCAACTCAATCGACCGCCTCAAACAGCCCGATCAGACCCGATCAGACATAATCAGCCCCAATCACTTGATTGCATGTGATCGGCGACCTGGGCGATGTACGTGAAATGTAACAAACCTCGCCATGAGGTCTCGAAAATCTTTGCGAATACACCCGGATCGGATGAACTGTTTGATGGGACATGATGTTGGTGACATTACCACGATACTGAGGGCGTATCCCTTGGTGGTGGCAGGGCCACTGTAGATGGCAGCCTGCCACGCACACATTAAACGCCAGGTTGGTGTCAGGAAATTTGGCGCGCGAATACAGGTGCGTGATTGGGCAATGCCCCAATAATGTCACTTCAATGCCACCAAATACGAGTCGCGCGCGCCTCGGTAAAAATGTTGGTGGCATACGGTTTTCCCGCATGCCACCAACTCTGCCATCTACAGTAGCCCTGCCACCACCCAGGGATACGCCCTGAGATTCGTCCGTATCCCCAAAGTTGGGATGCAACTACCAGGAAATGGGCCAACAGTTTTCATGCAAGAGCGCAAAACATTCGAGGAAAATCATCTCTGATCGGGCGGCGCGAGAAGAACGATCACAAGCAATCCGATCCGACCCGACCCGATCCGATCAGAGCCGATCAAAGTCGATTGGGCCCACGTCCTTAATGTCAAACTCCATCCCGCAGAACTGTAGCGCAAGCCGCGGTTGAACCAGAGCAAGTGGGGCTTTCTGCTCCGAGAGGAAACAACCTGGCAACCTCCTACTCTCCCATCTTTGGATGCATTTATTCGTGTAACTCGAAAGCAGGTTACACTCGCTGCTGTAACGCTACTATATCGAGCGTTCACTTGAGCGGCAATACACGTGTTACACGTCAATAATTGACCCAAGGCATTGCTGACATGTGCGAAGTTGGCGTTTTTCCACCCCTTCGTGGCTGGGGTCACTCTTCCCAGCCGTGCTGACTTAAAGGATTTCTACCGCTGGCCCATAGGCTTCACGGGCCTGGTAGCACGCCATCATCATCATTCCACGGCAACCCGCCACTTCTCGCGGCAGTTGCAATGGCAGAATTGCGCGACGCGCCGGCGCGCGAACTTTTCTCAATCCCATCGACCAACCTCGCACCGCAGGTAGGGCGACCAAACCCCTCGCAAATGAATCGACCTACATGCGCTTACGCGATACTGACAGCAAATTCAATGTGTAAGAATTGGTGGTCTTCCAAATTGTCACTGTTTCGCGTGGGATAATGTTTGCCAGGTGGTTTTCGTGTTTTTTGGTAAAAACAAGGTCGCAATTGTAGCTACATTGCCGTGACCTTACAAGTTTCGGTTGTTTTGACTGTTTCTGATGGCGCGAAAATGTTTCGTGCACGTGTCACGTTTTGTTGTCTACATGCTTAGTTTTTTTCGCCGCGTGTCAATCGCGATTTTCTTAAAGTAGCGGTATACATTTGGCGCTACTGTTTGTTTTGTACAGTGATGGAACTCCATTTCTCCCAGACGAAAAAAAACTGGGGGAGCGAGAGTGTTGGCGAAAACCAGATGCACTTGTGTTATGAGAGAACCAGAGTGGGGTTGGTTGTGAGTCACAGAATGGATGAAATGCCCTCGCCACCGAACTCACCACTCACTCTCACACACCAAGGAAAATAAGCGCCTATTACCTACTCCAAAAAGAAACAACCACGGCGCGCGCTAGAAGGTGCTACGCCAGCAGCGCGACCAGAGCAGGCACGAAGTGGCGCGTGAGTTAGGCACGAAGGAGAATTAGCCAAAAGGGCGAAACGACTATAAAAATCGCGCGCCAGCAGCATCCTGTGCAGCAACTGTATCGCACTCACCTCTAGCCTGGCACGCGCCCTAACATTCCGCCCGATCCAGCATAGCGCGCTCCAGCATTTCGCGCTCAGGATAGCAGCGCACGCAAGCAAAACGCGCGCAGCAAGGGCGCTCGTAATATTCATAGCGCGCGCGGGTACCAGTGACGAATCGTGTTCTCCAAGGAGACACACCGTCTTTGCGCATATAAGAAGAGGTGGGAGCTGCGTCACGTGCCTCCGAACGCATTTGTGCCGTCTAATACGGGGAGCCCATTCCGCATTCCCCATTCCGCATTCCCCATTCCGCATTCCCCATTCCGCATTCCCCATTCCGCATTCCCCATTCCGCATTCCCCATTCCGCATTCCCCATTCCGCATTCCCCATTCCGCATTCACCATTCCGCATTCCCCATTCCGCATTCCCCATTCCGCATTCCCCATTCCGCTCTCCCCATTCCGCATCCCCCCTTCCGCGCCGCCCCTTCCGCGTTCCCCCTTCCGCGTTCCCATTTCCACATTCCCCCTTCCGCAATCCCCCTTTAGCGTTCCCCCTTCCGCCAACCCCCTTCCGCATTCCGCCTTCCGCCTTCCCCCTTCCGCGTTCCCCCTTTCGCGGTACCGTATACTCCCGGACAAAACACCCCCCCATAATTGTACACCCCCGGGTAGCTTGTGCGGGGTGGGTGTTATGGGGAGCCTCATTTCTACTATACCCCCTTTTTGCCTGATTCCCTATAAGACCCGAGGGGGTGTTATGGGCGGCAAAAATATTGAATTTGCTTACATTGCATACAATACAGGGTACTTTACAGGTACTACAGAAGTAATGTGCCAGCACATAGTCATCGACAATGTCACCTAGACTGCAGAAACATCACCACAAGAGCACCTCACATCCACAATTTCACCTAAAAAAACTCTATACAAAGTGCCTTCTACTCAGAATCGTCTCCTGCATGCCATTCTTCACAGTCTTCCCCGTCAAAGCGGCCAGGGCGCCACCATTCGTCATCGCTGGGCTCTTCTGCCTCCCCGCCTTCCTCAAGCACGCCCCCCTCCTCCTTTGCCGCCGCCGCTTCCGCATCCTCCTCAGCGGCGTCAGCCTCCTCTGCCGCCGCCTGCAGCTCCTCGGCCGGCATGGGGACTTCGACGTAGAAGGGGCTGACGACGAGCTCGTCGTCAACCAGGTCGTTGACGTCGTCCAGGACTTCCACCTCACCCTTGTCCCGCATGTGGGCAAGGATGAGGTGGTCCTCGCTGCCATCGATGGGGGTGGAGATCCCATACGTGACGAACGCCTTCTTCACGAGCTCTTGTGGGATTGCTTCCCAGGACTCATCGATCCAGCGGAGCACCAACTCCGCTGGCGGCTTCTTGAGATTGCCTGAGGGACGGGGAAGGGTAGAGAAGGACAGATGTGAATTTCCAGAGCGTAAGCCGACATTGATTCAAAGTTACACATGCGGATGTCATGGTTCAACTCACCGGACTTGGTGGTGGTGTTGATGCCCTCTTCTTCGAACCAGCCAGTGTAGCGATGGCGCACACCGCACTTGAACGCGCGGTTGATTGACACATCCAGAGGCTGCACTAGCGGAGTGCAGCCCCCTGGGATGACAGCCCGTGACAGCCGAAACATCCTCATGGTCTGCCCGACCGCCTCAGTCAAGTGGCCGCGGTAGGAGTCGAGCACAACCAAGGCCTCTTTGCGGCGTCCAGTTGATTCTCGCAAGGGCTTCAGAAACGGCACCATTACCTGGGTGATCCAGTCCTGCACAAGTGATTCGTCCATCCACCCTTTGTCTTGTGCACGGACCACCACACCTGCCAAAGAATACCGGTACGTTAGGGTCAAATTCGGTTGCGACTGTTGACAGGCTACAGTAGTGACATCATCCTGAACGTGCTACGCTTACCGGCAGGGATGGGCACCTTCGGTATGGACTTGCGCTTGAACACCACGTACGGCGGCAGCTTGAGCCCGCTCGCAGTTACTGCCAGCATGACAGTAACACGCTCCTTCTCATAGCCCGCACTCCGTACGTGAACCGTCCGCGCTCCCTTCATTTCGAGCGTGCGCTCCGCCGGCATCTCCAGGAAAAGCGGGGTTTGGTCCGCGTTCAAGATGAGGTCAAGCGGGTAGTTGTGCAGAGAGCGCATCTGGCGCACAAACTCCCAAAAGGACTCCACCTTGGCCTTGCAATCTGCCAGCAAAGCCACGAGACACATTAGCTCAGCACTGAGATGGCAATCAAGGAGCACGGCGGCGCAACACTTACCCGCTGCCAACTTCTGTCCCATCTTCGTCTTCACCCGCCTCGCCAGATGCTAGCGCGCGCGGAAACGAGTCGCCCAGCGAAACGATGCGCGCCAGTTGACCCCGGGCATCTGGTGCTTCATGTACTTGGCGCTCCACTTCTGGAGCATGCTGACCAAAACGGTGAGCCCCCTCCCCCTGTGCTTGAGGAATTGGCGGTAGACCGCCCTTTCCATGAAAGGGAACTTGGACTTGCGGCCAGCTCCCATGAGGCGACGACGGCAGCTGGAAGAGACCTCCAGCCGCTCCCTCATCTTCTTCCAATCGCGGATCTGGCATGGCTGCACCTTCGCGAGCTTCGCCAGGGCGCGATTCGACAGGTCGGGCTGCGAGTCCTGCATCTTCAACCAGTGGAGATTCTCCTTTGCGGTGATTCCCTTGCGCTGGCGTTTCGTCATGCGATGGCGAGGGGATGGCGGGTCAGCATCGGCGTTGCGCTGTCCCTGCGGGCGGTTCCGCTCCGGGAACGTGGGGACAACCACTCGAGGAAGGGTAGGGCGAGGACGGTCCAAGCTACTGCTCGGTTCATCCCTGGTAGAAGCACTACCGGGATCATCTGGCTGAGGAAAGATCGGGCGAGGAGACGTCCGTGCGCGTGCAGAAGCGCTAGTCTGATTGGTGGAAACAGGCCGCTGCCGCCTATCTACCGTACTGCTAGAATCTGGAGATGAAGCCATGCTTGGGAACTAAGGCAGGTCGATGTCACTCGCCATGGGAGAAATGACTTTGAAAGACGATACCCTCGTGCACAGGAAGGAGGTGCTCTCACAGCCTGCCGAGCATTTGTTAAAGACGTGCACTGGAACCGCTTGACGAAGAGAAGAGCAAGCTTGGGTGAGGAAGCTTGGACGTGACTACCGTACACGGGAGTCAAGGGGTCACAGGTATAGTGACAACACAGCACCGTGCGCGATTCCGGCCTCGTACTGCATGAACCCAAGCTGCTCGAGGTTGGCACTGATGTCAACCAATCAGGTGGCACAGTGGGCCCACTGGAATTTGCCATGTGGCAGATTCCAGTGGAGGACGACGTTATCCTCGTAGACGCGGTTTGGCGGCCCTGATAAAAATAATAATAATAAGGCCAGACCCCTGTTTTTGTTTCCATTCATTTCTGCTTATAAAAAAATGTGCAATATAATAAGACCCGGGTATTATGTATTTTTTTCCTATGAAGAGACCCCCCCCATTTTTTCCCTGTATTTTTAGCTATACCCTAGGGTATTATGTCCGGGAGAATACGGTAACCCTTTGGCATTCCCCCTTCCGCGTTCTCCTTCCTCGTTCCCGCTTCCGCATTCCCCCTTCTCCATCCCCCTTGCGCATCCCCCCTTCCGCATTCCCCCATCAGGCCCCATGTTTCCCCCCTTCAGGCCCCATGTTTCCCCCCATCAGGCCCCATGCTTCCCCCCATCAGGCCCCATGTTTCCCCCCATCAGGCCCCATGTTTCCCCCCATCAGGCCCCATGTTTCCCCCCATCAGGCCCCATGTTTCCCCCCATCAGGCCCCATGTTTCCCCCCATCAGGCCCCATGTTTCCCTGCATCAGGCCCAATGTTTCCCCCCATCAGGCCCCATGTTTCCCCCCAGCAGGCCCCATGTTTCTCCCTGCATGACCCATGTTTCCCCCTGCAGGCCCCATGTTTCCCCCTGCAGGCCCCATGTTTCCCCCTGCAGGCCCCATGCTTCCCCCTGTAGGCCCCATCTTTCCCCATGCAGGCCCATGCTTCCGCCCCCTGCAGGCCCCCTGTACACCCCGAGCGCACACGTCCATAATCCCCCCATGCTAGCCCAATCATTTCCCAATGTTAGCCCCATGTTTCCCACGGCAAGCCCCACGTTGTACCCTTGTAGGCCCCATGTTTCCCCTGCCTGCCCCATGTTTCCCTGTGCAGGCCCCATGTTTCCCCCTTCAGCCCCCGTGTTTCCCCTTGCAGGCCCCCTGTTTCCCCCATCATGCCCCCTGTTTCCCCCTGCGAACCCCCTGTTCCCCCCATGTCAGATCCATTTCTCCCCCCTGATAGCCCCATATTCCCCACGTGATAGCCCCATGTTTCCCCCATGCTAGCCTCATGTTTCCAAGGCTGGGTTATGAGTGCATCGCTGCTCACAGCAGCATGGAAAGTGCTCACCAGCAAAGGAACCACTCAGCCCGCATACTCTTACTCACCTTCGCTTGTCACATCCTCTTTTCCCACCCTACCCTTCCCTTCCAAGGTGCCAAGGTGAGTGCATCGCTGCTCACAGCAGCATGGAAAGTGCTCACCAGCAAAGGAACCACTCAGCCCGCATACTCTTACTCACCTTCGCTTGTCACATCCTCTTTTCCCACCCTACCCTTCCCTTCCAAGGTGCCAAGGTGAGTGCATCGCTGCAAACAGCAACGTATGGAGTGCTCACCAACAAGGGGACCTAGTGCCTGACCACACTCTTACTCACCTTTGCCACTCACATCCTCTTTTCCCTCCCTCCCCTTCCCTTCCAATGTTGGGTGGTGAGTGCATCGCTGCTCACAGCAATGTGAGGAGTGCTCACCAGCAAAGGGACCTCCCTTCCAGAACACTCTTACTCACCTTCGCCACTCACATCCTCTTTTCCCTCCCTCCCCTTCCCTTCCAAGGCGCCGTGGTGAGTGCATCGCTGCGAACAGCAGTGTGTGGAGTGCACGCCAGCAAATGAATCACCTCTGACCAAGCAATGGCACTCCCCTCACTGGCAGGTCCACCAAGCATCTCACACTACATTGCTCTCTTCTGCTGCACACCACGCCAGGCATGCAATTGCAGCAAGCTGCACGTGCGGCAGCTCCCAGCATAGTTGACAGGTTCCGTTTGTAGTATATTATACATCCAAACACTCCCACATGCGTGTTTGCGCCCACTGTGTCTGGGTTCAGTACATTGAAGGCCTTCAAGCTATAAACACTTCGCAACGTTTTACAAATGGAGTACTTACAACAGTATTGACTAAATACAAGGACCCTAATCACCCAACCCTGGATTCCACCATACCCCCCATGTTGCTAGTCATATGCCTGTGCTCGATTTTTATCCCCCTTCACCCTATCGCTGCTCTTTTTGCTCATCTTCAGAACCAATCCTGAAACCTGGCGTCAATCGTTGTCGACACCCACGTCATTGCGAGAACATCAATGATTTCTGGCGGGCAACATAAGAAAGGAGTGGGGAACTTGGTGTAGGGAGTAGGCAATGGATGGGAACTTGGCAGGCGATGGATGGGTATGGTATGGGATGGATGGGTATGGCAGGCGATGGATGGGTATGGTGTGGGATGGATGGGTATGGCTGGAGTATGGAATGGTATGGTAAACTTCTGCTAAAGAAGGAATTGTAGGGCAGGGTATGGCAAGGAGCGGCAAGGTATGGCAGGGGAGGGGTGAGTTTGGCTGGCCTATGTATGGGTATGGGAGGAGATAGAAGGGTACGGCAGGGTACGTTGGAGGGTAGGGTGGGTGCAGATAGCAGACCGACTCACATTGCAGTGGATAGGTTCGGGTGTCTAATCCTTGGAACTGGTTGAACTTCCTGTGCACTCCCTCTGCAGCACAAGCAACGGTGGAGTCGCGATTACTTCACAGACAAGAAACAGCACGGTGGGGGAAGGACAAGGTGAGACAAGTTGCGAGGAAGGTCAGAGGAGGGGGTATGAGCCCAAGGAACATTCTAGAGGAAGGAGTGGTGATGGGAGGCATGAAGGGGAGACAACAAGGCAGGGATGACCAGGAGGTTAGAGGGCTTGAGGAGATGGGTAGGCGAAGTGGAGGGGTGAGGATGAAGAGGTGGGACTGAAGGGCAGAAAGTGCCTGAGAGGAACGGGAGGAGGGGAGACGGGGAAGGGAGATGGAGGAGGCGGGATATTATGAACCAAAGGGAGTAGATGGACAAGGGGCGGCCCTAAATTTTTGGCGCTGATGGGGGCCGTGCTGAGGGATGGAGGAGAAGGTGGGGGGGGGGGGGGGGGGGGGGGGGGAGAAGAGAAGAAAGAGATCGCAGGGAGGGAAGAGGGGGAAGGGAGGGAGGGGAGGGAAGGGAGGAAAGAGAGGGAAGAAAGGGAAGGTTGATAAGGGAGGGAAGAGAGGGTAAGAAGGGGAAAGGAAGGGAAGGGAGGGAAGAGAGAGAAGGGAGGGAAGGGAGGGAAGAAAGGGAAGGTTGATAAGGGAGGGAAGGGAGGGAAGGGAGGGAAGGGAGGGAAGGGAGGGAAGAGAGAGAAGGGAGGGAAGGGAGAGAAGGGAGGGAAGGGAGAGAAGGGAGGGAAGGGAGAGACGGGAGGGGAGGGAGGAAAAGGAGAGATTCTGAATGCAAGCAAGGAGAGAAGGGAGGGAATGGGGAGAAGGGGGAGAAGGGAGGGGTTGGAGGGAAAGGAGGGAGGGGAGGGAACCAGAGGGAAGAGAGGGAAACGAGGGAAGGGAGGGAAGAGAGGGAAACGAGGGAAGGGAGGGAGACGAGGGAAGGCGAGGAAGAGAGGGAAACGAGGGAAGGGGAGGAAGAGAGGGAATCGAGGGAAGGGAGGATAGTGAGGGAACCGAGGGGAGGAGGGAAGAGAGGGAAGGGAGTTTTGGGAGGGAAGGGAGGGAAGGGAGGGAAGGGAGGGAAGGGAGGGAAGAGAGAGAAGGGAGGGAAGGGAGAGAAGGGAGGGAAGGGAGAGACGGGAGGGGAGGGAGGAAAAGGAGAGATTCTGAATGCAAGCAGGGAGAGAAGGGAGGGAATGGGGAGAAGGGGGAGAAAGGAGGGGTTGGAGGGAAAGGAGGGAGGGGAGGGAACCAGAGGGAAGAGAGGGAAACGAGGGAAGGGAGGGAAGAGAGGGAAACGAGGGAAGGGAGGGAAGAGAGGGAAACAAGGGAAGGGAGGGACGAGAGGGAAACGAGGGAAGGGAGGGAAGAGAGGGAACCAAGGGAAGAGAGGGAACCGAGGGAAGGGAGGGAAACGAGGGAAGAGATGGAAGAGAGGGGAAACGAGGGAAGGCAAGGAAGAGAGGGAAACTAGGGAAGGGAAAAAAGAGAGGGAAACGGGGAAGGGAGGGAAGAGAGGGAAACGAGGGAAGGGAGGGAAGAGAGGGAAACGAGGGAATGGAGGGAAGAGAGGGAAACGAGGGAAGGGAGGGAAGAGAGGGAAACGAAGGAAAGGAGGGAAGAGAGGGAAACGAGGGAATAGAGGGAAGAGAGGGGAAACGAGGGAAGGCAAGGAAGAGATGGAAACGAGGGATGGGACAGAAGAGAGGGGAAACGAGGGAAGGCGAGGAAGAGAGGGAAATGGGGGAAGGGACAGAAGAGAGGGAAACGGGGAAGGGAGGATAGTGAGGGAACCGAGGGGAGGGAGGGAAGAGAGGGAAACGGGGGAAGGGAGGGAAGAGAGGGAAATGAGGGAAGGGAGGGAAGAGAGGGAAACAAGGGAAGGGAGGACAGAGAGGGAACGAGGGAAGGGAGGGAAGAGAGGGAAACGAGGGAAACGAGGGAAGGGAGGGAAGAGAGGGAAACGAGGGAAGGGGAGGAAGTGAGGGAATCGAAGGAAGGGAGGTTAGTGAGGGAACCGAGGGGAGGGAGGGAAGAGAGGGAAACAAGGGAAGGGGAGCAAGAGAGGGAAACGAGGGAAGGAAGGGAAGAGAGGGAAGCGAGGGAAGGGAGGGAAGAAAGGGAAACGAGGGAAGGCGAGGATGTCAGTAGACCTGCACTGTGGATGTCCGATTGATCCTGGAGAGGGTTACAGGCGCGTTCGCCTGGGGGGTTATGGGCGCACTGACCCGCTACTGAAACAAGCCCTTTTATCCCAATGGTCTAGTGGTTGGGATTCTGACAGAGGAAGAGATGGAAACGAGGGAAGGGGAGGAAGAGAGGGAATCGAGGGAAGGGAGGATAATGAGGGAACCGAGGGGAGGGAGGGAAGAGAGGGAACCGAGGGAAGGAGGGAAGAGAGGGAAACGAGGGAAGGGAGGGAAGAGAGGGAACCGCGGGAAGGGAGAGAAGAGAGGGAAACGAGGGAAGGCGAGGAAGAGAGGGAAACGAGGGAAGGGGAGGAAGAGAGGGAATCAAGGGAAGTGAGGATAGTGAGGGAATTGAGGGGAGGGAGGGAAGAGAGGGAAACGAGGGAAGGAGGGAAGAGAGGGAAACGAGGGAAGGGAGGGAAGAGAGGGAAACAAGGGAAGGGAGGGCAGAGAGGGAACGAGGGAAGGGAGTGAAGAGAGGGAACCGCGGGAAGGGAGAGAAGAGAGGGAAACTCAGGAAGGGAGGGACGAGAGGGAAACAAGGGAAGGGAGGGAAGATTGGGAAGCGAAGGAAGGGAGAGAAGAGAGGGAAACGAGGGAAGGCGAGGAAGAGAGGGAAACGGGAATGGGAATGGTTGGGGAGGCACGCGGAGGAGAACGGGGAGCTGTAAGGGGACATCGGGGGTGGGAATGGGAGAACGGGAGGCACGACGGGGAGAACGGGGAGCTGTAAGGCGACGCCGCTTCGCAGATCAGCGGCGATGCGACGCCGCTTCGCGGATTTGCGGCGAGGCGACGCCGCTTCGCGGATTTGCGGGGAGGCGACGCCGCTTCGCGGATTTGCGGCGAGGCGACGCCGCTTCGCGGATTTGCGGGGAGGCGACACCGCTTCGCGGATTCGCAGCGAGGGGAAGCCGCGCGCAGATTTGCGGCGATGCAGTGCGGCGAATGAATTTGCAGCGCGGCGACTTCGGGAGCGGATTTGCCGAGAGGTGACGCCGCGACGGGCGTTGAGGCGAGTCTACGAAGCGAGGTCTTATGAGGCGTCGCAAACCCTACGTCATGCTATGGACGGCGTTTGACCTAAGCGAGCCCGCAAGCTTGATCGTGATGGCACATATTGGTGCGAATAGCTAGTTTCCTTAGTAGTTCACGGGTAAAGTGGGTGACGGCTTGTTGGGGAGGGAGCACCTTCAGTATACTTTTGGCATGTATAAACTTTCGACACTTGAGTGGACTTGGCTGGTGGCAGGGTTGGGGACTCTTGGGAACCGTCGCTCGTGAGTGAAGTTGAGTGGGCCTGTAACTTGGTATCCACCATGTCCCTTTTATAAACTTTGGGCACCCCCCCTGCCAAATGTATACCGCTGCTTTAAACATCTACGGAGCTCAGAAAATAGCAGGGGCTGAAAAAAAAAAAAAAAAAAACCCCTAAAGGCAGGAACGCAATTCGGGAGGCATCAACCCTAAACACGGGAAGCATAGTGTTTAGGGTTAATGCCTTGAATGTGGTGCAATCTGGGGGGGATCAACCCGAAACCCCCATAAATGTCAAGATGTTTAGGGTTGATGCATTCAAAGTTGTTACGATGTGAAGTTTTATGAGAAGGCATTCCTGTATGCTGCAGGAGCCGACTCTACCGAGTACGAAGTTGAGGAGTCAGAAGAGCCGAAGCGACGCAGCAACCGTCAGACCAAGACCGATGCAGGCTGAAACATTTGAAGTGAAAAGAGCGGGAACAGGTTTTGAACGGGTTCCCGCGCCGCACGGTTTCTGAATTCAGTTGTAATAAGGGAATGTACCCCTTAGAGTACATGGCTAGTCTAGGTCCTTTCGTATTCCTTTGTACTCTTATATAAACTCGATGTATGCATGCTATTATCAACTCAGTCATTTACATTCACTCTGACCTGAGATTCAAACTTCCGCTGCAACACTACTCCGCGATCAACCCTGAGCGATCCTTTGCTAAGTCCCACTTGGGATTGTAACATGGTATGAGAGCTACTCAGGGATTCTTCGCAACTTCACTTCCGTGAAATTCGCCGAATCAAGACCTGGCGAGCGGCACACGCTCCAAGACCAAGATGGCCGGAGGATCCGGAGGCCAAGCAAATCTGACGGCTGAAGGACAACCCAATCCAGCTACGACAAGTGAGGCGACAACCACGATCGGCACTGCCGCCCTCGAGCAACTTTTCACTCGACTTTCAACTATGGAGAAAGAACTCCAAGAACTGCGCAAAGGCGATGCGGGAATCTCTTCCCAACCAGCACAACCTGGACAACCGGCTGAGAAAAGCCGTGATACCGTCGCGCACACCTTCTCCCTCGACACAGACAAATCAGCAACAACTGCCCCCCGTCCAAGTGATGAGGCTATCAACTCTGCGCAAACACGCTTCCTCAGCGTTTCAAAGATTAAGACTACTGCCGCGTTTGACAGCAAGGATTTTTACACATGGAGTTTTGAGCTGGAGCTCCTCCTACAAACGGCGCAGATCTACCATTACTTCGACGGCTCCTACCCTAAACCGGTGGAAAACACCGACGTTGCCAGGGCTCAGTACTACAGTGAGTCCCTCATGGCTTACAGTGTGCTGCTACGCAACATGACGCCTGCCGAACAACTCAACATACGCTCCTACAAAGAGAGCGACGCTCCAACAATGGAAGCTTGGAAGCACCTCGTTGAAGTTTACCAGCCGAAGGATTCGGTCACCGCCAGCACGCTTCTCCAGCAACTCCTGGAGATAAAGATGGGGCACGGGGAGAAGGCAAATCCATATATTAACCGCTGTCGCAACATCCGTGACCAGATCACGAAGCATGGGAGTACGATCTCAGAAGAGATTTTCGTCAATATAGTCCTTCAAGGACTCGGGCCTGAGTGGAAGCCCTGCAAGGCGTTACTCCGACAGCGAGGAACAATTTCAGAAGCCGCGCTATGCGCCGCACTTCTATCCGAACAGCAGGATATGGACTCGAGCAGAACAAGCTCCGCGCCGCGCCGAGAGCGCCTCGCCTTCTACACGGACAACCGAGAAGAGCGACGACAACCAAGGCGCCATTACTGCAAAATATGCAAAGTCTTCGGACACTCAACGGATAGATGTAAATCCCGATCCAACTACCGCCACCCAAATTCCACTCACCACAACAACTGGGTCGGCCGACAAGACGTTCGTTATCCTCAACCTCAGCATCAGCAAGCTCGTCCTCCTGCGCAACACCAGCAAAATCAAGGACCACAGTCAGGAGCTCCCAGGAATGTCATCGCAAACATGGCGATACGACGCCGGCGCACCACTGAACCTGACGAGGAGAACGAAGTCCAAGGAAGACTTCTGGAACTAGAAGAGGGATGGAATAATCCCTTCACCGAGGATCACTACTACTTGCACGACGACGACGAGCAGGACTGGAACCTTCCAATCACGCTGCGGGAAAGCCCGCCTTACGAAAATCAGCACTACGTACCAGTGGGCTGGAAGGAGGACGAAGATCCTTACTTCCACAGGCGCTTCAAGACCACCCTGGTAACTCCACGATTGGCGCTGCTGCTGCGCCGTAACAACACTGACAATTACAACACCTGGTACCTGGACAGCTGCTGCGGCCAGCACATGGTGGGGTCCACGCGCTATGTCTCTAACCTAAGTGGCGCCCCTGCAACTTATGTCACCGTCGCCAACAACGAGCAGATGCGCGCCAACTCACAAGGACTTGTCGTCCTGCAAGCACGAGATAGCAACACGCACATCTCGCTCAACGACGTACTCTACGTCCCGAACCTGCGCTTCAACCTGCTCTCCGCTGGACAGCTCCGCGATTGCGGCGTCATCATTCACACAGACCTCGCGATGCGCGATCTCATCCTCACCTACGCTCCCCCGGACACTCCTCCTGAGGCATTCAAGTACCTCGGACGAGCTCGCTCCATCAATGGGATCTATATCCTAGACTTCGACATACCTCCCTGTCAAGCCTCGTCGGACGAGCTCGTGGATCTTGTCCCCCTCGAGTTCGCTTTCATGAACAAGGAATCTTGGGAGCATCCGGATGGAAGACCGTGGGTTCGCCGAAGCCCTCACCCGCGTGAAATCAATCTTCACGAACCTGACGCCCACGGACTGTGCACACCACCTGTCACACACCAACCGCAAGTCGAACGGAGCAAGTGGAAAAGGAGCAAGTGGCAATTCAGGAAGCAGAAAGCGCTGAGATAGAACCAACAGGCATGACTGAAGAAGAACTCGCCATATCATCACACCGCATATTCGGTGAGCCAAGCAAGAAATTCGGCCAAGAACAGCAGGAGAGACCAAGGCCTTACTCGGACAACCTACGATTCGTCTTCGAAGCCAACACGCGCACTCTCGACGAAGAAGGACGTCCGCGCCCGTACACTCGCGAAGTCTACCGCCGCGAGATTGACCCTGCCTGGAAAGATCCTAACGCACCAGAGGAGCTGAGCGTCAAGGAAGAATAGGAGAAGGCCCAAGCGGAGAAGCGGCAGAAGCTGTATGAGGAGCGCATCGCGGCAGGATGGGACCCAGACTCTGCGCACGGAGGATGGGGCAACGAGCCCGCTGATCCAGAAGAAGGCGCAACCTCAACCGGAGCATGGGGAACCGGCACGGTCACCACAGGAGGATGGGGAAACAACGAGCCTAACGAAGGGGAGCTCACGCAAGAGGAATTGGAGGAAGCTGAACAAGAAATACAAGCTGAGCGCGGCAAAGCTTCACCTCGAGTAACCATTCCCCTCGGTCGACCCCCTCGCACTGACGAACCACCTCGCTCACCTCATCACTGGCGTGATCCCTGGTCGGAGATTGAGGAGGGGAATGTACTGCCAACACCTCCGCGAGACTCACTCGGTCCAATCTCCCGCCCAGATCTGTACGCCCGCTTCATCGAAGGCACCACGACCCCGCTCACGATCATTCCCGATCGCGAATTTCTCGCCCTGTATCTCTCAATGGCACCTGCAGAAGGGGAAGCAACGGCAGAAGCAGAAGCAGAGGAGGAGAACAACGAAGCAGAACGAGGAGAAGAGGAAGAACCTCCACTCCAGATCCCAGAACTCACAGCGGAGGAGGCAGCAGAGTACCATACCCGCTACAAGCGCACCTCCGGCATCCGTGCCGAGGATGACCTCTGGCACCAGCGGATGGGACACCCCTCGCGCCATACACTCGCCAATTGCCTCCGTGCAGAAGTTTTTCCGCCAGGAGCACTGCTGCGCCCCGACGGGACGGAGTTACAGCACACCACCCCCCATCCAACCACTTGCACTGTCTGCCCTACACCCGCACTCTCTCACACTACCTATCCCTCTCTGGAGCCAAGCACCAACCGCTACAAGAAATTGGAAAAGGTGTACAGCGATTTCATCGTACTCACATGCGATGGACTCAACGGCGAAAAGTACACGCTGACCTTCATCGACGCCTACTCACGCCACGTGTGGGTTGCCAATGTTGACGCCCGCTCCAAAGCCCCGGAGGTGTTCCGTATCTTCCTCACGCACGCGCAGCGACAGTCGGGAAGGAAACTGAAGATCTGGCAGAGTGATGGGGCAAAAGAATTTCGCAGCCATGAACTGGAGAGCGTGCTCACCGAGAAGGGGATTAAGTATGAGATTTCCCTTCCCTATGCTCACCAACAGCAAG